AAATAATATCAGCAGAGTGTAAATTGTCCCGACACTGTATTCGTAAACTTTGAGAAATTAATATGATTTAATTAATTCGTTCGAGCTGAGTCTGCGTGTTGTGCATATAAACAGGTATCGAACTTAGAATATCAAGCAGCTTTCATTCTTATTCTGTTACGAAGTTTTCTTAGATCTTATTCAATCTCTCGATTAAAACAATATATTGAAACTGCTAGAATATTCCAAAATGACAAAATATTTGACAAAAGACTAGTCTCGAAACCCCGAAAGAAATTCCCGGCGAAACAATTTTTGGTTACTTTTTGAAGTTTTACTTCTTTAGGCGCGTTATGAAAAATTGATGAGAGTGAAATTTTACGATGTGCGCGCACCGTGACACAAAATTATCAGAATGACCATAATGACCTTTGTCAGAATGACCATAGACCTTTTAAACAAATAAAGGAGTTTTAATTATTTTTAAAGAAATTTAGCAATGCTTTTTCACAAAGACCTATTGTTACTTAGTTAAAAGGTTATGAAACATACCTAGTTAGTAAATTGAAGGAAGAATATAATAAAATAATAAATAATTATTATTATTATTAATTAATAATTGAATAATATATGTACTAAATATTAAATATTATTAAATTATTATCGTTAAATATTTATTATTAATTATTTAATGTATAAAAAAAATAAAGAAAGCCAAAGAAGTACAACTTCTTACGCGCGTGCATAAGTACACGCACTCTTTTTTTTTATACGGGTAGGAGGCTCACCTGATGCTAAGTGATACCGCCGCCCATGGACACTCTCAACGCCAGAAGGCTTTAAGAAGTGGTACGCTCTTTTTTTGAAGGACTCTAAGTCGAATTGGTTTGGAAATACTTCAGCTGGCTAGTTATTGAACATTCAATTGCTATTGAACGATACGGCATAATTGTTAAGGTTTTTATGGAAAGAATCACTGCGCTAAAAAACAGGAACAGATTTGGTATCATACTGTGCGAGTGGGGTACACGTGTGTGTGTCGACTGCATACAACATACGAGCATTATATTCGCGTCCTTTTTTGTAGTTATTGACCAAAATATTCACTTGCCCAAATTAACGTAATAAATATGTGAATGAAAACTAATAGTTGTTTAGAAAAACACACAATCATTCCTACATAAATTAATAAATCAAAACAGATGAAGCTTAATTATTGCAAGAGGTCCAACCAACCCGACAACGTGCACTTCTGAATATCTTCTTTGTCTTGAACTACAAGTAAGACCAGTTCCCCATGCTCTGCATCCAGCGTTTTCGCTGCACCTAGTGGAAGGTTCCAGGACGGCGTTGTTTTTTAACCAACTTTAATCAATTGTAAATTAATTTAGTCTTAATAAGGTATGTATAAATTAGTGCATACATAAGAAATGACAATATAACCAAGTTCACAGACTATTAAAATTGTGATTTAGTATCATTAACTCCAAAGTTAGTACGGTATTACCGGCAACCGTTCTATTTTTATGTAAATAACATCGTTACCATAGTTACAAACACGGTACGTTTTTAATACACTTAACTGCATTTGTATGGTTATTTCTAAATTGAACAGTTTTCAGCTTATCTCAATAAAAGAGTTTATAATTGCCATGATTTTTTCCCTCTAAAAAGCTATATTCTAAATTCATTAGGTCCGAATGAGCAGCGCCGACGTTAGGAGAAATTTTCTTAAAACATTAAGTAAGATTCAGTTCGGGACATAACAACAAATGCAAGATGCTCTAATGTACGCAGCGAGTTAAGAAAACATTATTCAGTTCCCTCAATCGCTTTGAAACGGCCTCTGGCATTTCATACGACGAGAGTTTAACGCTATGCTGAATTCGTAGTCTATTCGTAAGGTTTCGACTTACTCGAGGAAATATTGTGCTATTCTCAAAAATTGACAGGTATGATAATATTTATATTCGATTTTTTATGACAGTAAACGTAAAAATTTTCTTTGCGTAAATATTATCTTACATCGGAAAGTGTTTAACCTTTATTAACGTATTTACAACAAAAAAAACAATAGTTGAAACAAATTTAAATCTTACACTAAAAGTTATGAGATTCACAAGTATGTAATATACGCGTGATTTCGTACCCCGTTTTTATATTAATATGAACCAAGAAACTGATTTGGGGTATTTAACAACTAAACTAAACGATGGCACAATTCGTTTGATTACCATTAATCGGCATTTATAGTCCACAGCCGAGTGATACGATTCGTCGTTCCGTTGTACCAATTACAAAAAAAATGCGCAATTGTTTCCTCTTAACTTTACTCCCGTAGTGTATTGTAACAATAACATAATAAAACCAGCTACGTTATTTTTAAGAATCATAATTGTCTAATTAATGAAAGTGTAAAATATCAAATAATAGAAACGTCGAGTAAACGCTCGCAATGTTTATGAAGGCGCCATAAGAGGCAGGCACTTAATGGGGTAATTTAATTTTCTCACAACAGAAGGCAACAGCCGAGGCTGCCAACTCGGACCAGATAACGCCATTGTACCTTCGCATCTCTTTAAAAACTAATTCTTACAATACATTTTTATATCTCATTTTATGACCGTGGATTGCTTGAACCTCGATACTTTTGCCAAATGCGATTTTTATTTATTTATTCTTAGTTTATAGCGTGTATATACTGTAATGGCGTACATAAAAGCCTTATATAGGCTAGTTTTAAAATACAGGTTTTGAAATAGTGGTTGATTATAAACCGTTAACCACAATTGGATAGGAGTTCAAGGTTGTAATAAATTACGTCATATTATGACTGAGTTTGCTTATTACACATTTACATCTAATAAAACTGATTTGAAATATATTCATCGTTGTCGAATACAAAATAATCACGACTGACTTATAAAGGCAGAGCTAAAGTAACAAAAAGATAATATATAGATATAATTATGTATTAGGGAATGATTTTTAACAAGAATTCAGTCCTAAAAGGGACACTTAAATTGTCATTTCAACATATTTCGTTACGATAAGTCATAACTTGTAGTAGTAATTAATATATTGTAATGTTAATAAGTTTTTATGGGTTTTTATTAGTTATATATGTATTAAGTTACAAATCCTAATTATAGTTTATATAGAAGATAGTTTGCAAAAGCATCGCCAATCTAGGGGAAGTTGATGTTATTAAGGGATATACATTCTAGGAACAGTGAAGAACGTGAAGTTTTACTATGGTAAGGGAAAGCGAGTTAAATAACGTTATTTTATCTTGAATCAGGAAAAATAAGGCCTCGAATTGTAGGTATTCCAATGGGTGGGATATGTGGGCAGTCCCCACAAAATAAAAACTTGAAATATTAGTTCGTACATACATAGTTAACAGAGCTGATTGTTGTATCGCTACAAGTTTTAATTAAACTAGTGTCTGTACTGCTTACATAAAGATGAAAACAATGTATTCAATCCAATGGTATGCACTACAATATTCATAGACAATTCTCAAGAACTCTGTAATTTTTGTATTCAATACAGTATCGGATTATTTTTCTATTAGTCTGTTTTATTTTATTTGTAAACGTTTGGTAACAAAACTAAGCAGCTCGTTTTTTCTTTAGAAGTAGATTACAATCAATAGATTACAAAAAACGACGAACATTACAACAATTACTAATAACTTTATTATCTTTAACTTTATCATTAGTATCTAACAAAATTAGATTTTTTTATATATTAGACACAAAGTCAATAAAAAATCAAATTTCAAAATCAATGGTTATTAAAGGGCTGCCTTTAATTATATTAGATTTAAAGTGATTTTTATTAAGGATTATATAATGAAAACCAATATACACACGTAGAACCACACAATATTATTTTGAAATGAAAATAAAAAAACCTTCTCATAGAAGACATTTTACTTTTATCACGATTAAAATAACAGCATTAATGGCGCAAATTAAAGATTCTGTCGGCGTATAATCAGAAAATTATTTCGTTCTAGCCAATTGAACAGGACTGGCAATGCGAATAAAAAGCGAAATTTTAAAGAGATCAATGCCTAATAATCGAATATCGGATGAATCGACCGTAAATTCACGATAAACGTGCTCCGACTCTGAATCACGGAATCGAAAGACCTAGCTGATGAACTAAGAAAGTTTTTGTAGGACCTTTGAGAAAAAGCGTTTTTAGATTTTCTTGTCTAGAACCGGCGACTAAACCTACCTAGCTTGTGGTAATTTCTAAGTTTATATTTAATAAAACAATCCACGCAGATTCGTGGCAGGATTATTTTGAAAAATTATTAAAACAATATGCGATTTTTATAGCGTGGGTGCGTAAGACTAACCGTAAAATAAATAGTTATAGAACAGAAATAATTGGTTTATCATAATATATTTTCATTTAAAAAATGTGTATGTACAGTTGAATATGAGGATAATATATTTTGTTGAATGCATGTTTAATATAAACGTACGTACTTTGTCGCTTTAACGATAAAAGGTAGTTCTGTAATAAAAACAGGGCGAAGTAAAATACTACTCTGTTTATAATAACTATACATATTTACAAAGGGACAATTGTATGAAAATGGGTTAAGGTAAATCATAATCATAATCACATTTCAGCATTGAAAAAAAATATGAAATATTGATTTTTAATTGAGCTGGACAAGTATATTAAAAAATAATGAGAATACCATTAAATATAATTGACTTTTAACAATAACTAAAAAGTTGCCCTTGAAACTAAATTTGTCAAATTCAATACTTTAAAGATCATTCAAACCTAATAATTTACCACTTCCAACTCTCTTATTCACACTTTTCCAGAGTTATCTTCATTGCAATAAGTTTTATCATTAATATCATGCTAATTCACTTCGTTATATACAGATATATTAATTTTTTGTATTTTCTTAATAATAGTACAACGCATCCTGTGTTAGTCTCGTAAAGGGACTTGTTAAGACCATGAAATCCTTAAAATCATAATCTCTAAGTACCCATAAGAACATCCATTTCAATAATAGTTTTATCTTTGGTTTCAGGAATAAAGTAGTATATCAGTAATGTTAAAATAAGTGACGAACTACCGTAGAAAAAGAATGCACCGTGGGCACCTATTGTACTTAATAGAAAAGGCAATATTTTAACAACAGTACCCATTATTATATTATCAACTAACTCCATTAATAACATGTATAATCCTCGATATCTAAGAGGACACAGTTCTGCGATAATTGACGGCGTTATAGTTATCGGTCCACAACTTATAACAATCATGTATAGTGTTAACAAAACCAAAAAGATATAACTATTTGTCTCATAAAATTCTAATTTTGATAGATACAAATAAATAGAGATACACAGTAAGAATAAAATACCAACCAAAGAAGTCGTGATAAAGAGCATTTTTCGCTTATAGAACTTAACAATTGCACTGGTGAAATACATACTGAAAACTGTTAATGCATCTATTACTAGCATTCCTGTATATGCAGCCGATTCACTGTTAGTTACATTTTTAATTAACTGCAAGGCGTATACATTGCACGACATTTTACCAGAAAAATAGTACAAGAGTAACATAAGCATTGTATATCCAAAAGGTTTGTAGAAGGCTTTTGCGGTTATCGCAATTTGAATCTTCTTTAGTATATTCTGCGAAGATTCTATTTTCGCCCGACTTAAATCTTTGTGTTGCATTATCAATGAGTTTATTTCTTTCATAGACTCTTCGTCAGTTCCCTTGAGCCAACAATGGGATTTAGCGCAGGCGTCGTAATTTTGCCTGCTAGCCAACCAATATGGCGACTCTGGCCAGAAAAGACACGAGATAAATGCATATACTGACAAGATAAATCCTAGTAACGGTATTGACTTCCAATGCAAGAACGTTCCCATCGTATTCGCAACAAGCATTCCCCAACCAAACGTTGCTGACTTAAATGTAAGGAAGAATCCTCGGTATTTCGGTGATGTATATTCTGTAAGAACCATAACACAAATCATTCCATCTGAGGCAATTAGAGTTCCTTGTAATACCTCGCTTATTATAACCTGTGTGAAGTCTGAACTTAAGTATAAGGTTACGAATCCAACTGCAGATGTCAAAGAGGCGACTAGGAAAGTCTTCTTTCGGCCAAATTTCCGTGACAGGAATGCAACAATGAAGAGGTTGGGTATCGCGCTGTAATTGTACGCAGAACCTGATTGAGATAATTATAACGTTTATTAATCATTCAACCTTCATTAATTCTTGGTTACAAAAATTCCAATTGAGTGATAACATATTGAACTGGTAGGTAAACTGGTAGTTAAATATTTTTTATCTCTGTTTTATTTATTTTTTTGAATTCTCGAATTATTTGTTACATTGTTTAAAGTCATTTAACTATCGCTGAAGCATTTATGATTCAAAACATGGAGTATGTTACTATCTGCCCTGCGATTCTGTAACTCACTTTTCGAACTTTCACAGCGGTTTTCGCAGAGGCGGTCGCGCTCAAATCAGTCGTGAAGCAGTAATTTAATGATTTGACATTCTGATAAGATAAGCTTATAGTTTATTGTTTATCAGACAGAATCATCAGAATGCCAAATCGTAAAATGACTGATTTGAGCGCGACCGCCGCTGTGAAAACCGCTGTGTGAGTTCCAAAAGTGAGTTACAGAATTTAATAAATGTTTCATGTATTCTTTTTCATTGGGCAAATACTTAACCAACTTAATTATTATTTATAATTAGGCAAGTAAGTACTAATGGTGGTGGATTTTTGTTGTAACAAAACTCCGGCTACATACCGATATTTTTCTTCACCAGCTGAAGGAGTGTTAATCAAACAGTTCTAAGAAAAATAAGGCTAATAAAAGTTGTCAATAAACAATATTTAGTCTCCGACAGTTAATGAAATTCAATAAATTAATTTCGTCCATCATATTTATAATTAATAGAATACCGCTAGCAAGCTATAACTTACTTATCCACGAGGACATTTCATTAGAAATCACATCAGTAGAATTGGCTTCCTCTCTTGTTTGTGATATATAGATTGTCGGAGTGCCCATACACAACCCAAACATAAAGAAACTAGACCAAATACTGCTGGACACCAGGATCTGAAAAAGTATTTTTCTTTAGATAATTCTTCTTCTAGAAACTTCGCGTACATTACGTGCATTTTAGCAAAAAATTTCCCAACTCTTAATGTCAAAGGTATTTCCGTCAATTAAGGGAAATGTAAACTTACTTTTTTAACCTAATTTTTTATGAGTATGGGACATGTTTTTGTGTCTTATATATTTTTGTAAGGCAGGTGATCAGTCTAGACTATTATGGAAATCGGAAATATATTGTTATGCGGGCTCTTTTTTAAAATACATAATTCTTTACAATTAATGAAATACGATAAAATATAAATATATCAATAAACTCACCTGTCTTATAAATATTTTTCTAGGAGTGAGAGTTTTGTCTACGTTAGCTTCATATTTGGGTTCCATGACGATATATTATCATTTGTCACAGTAAGAAACTAGAACGGAAACCAATAAATTTATTTATATTATTTGATGACAGAGTCATAACAAGCTACTATGCACTTTTCACAGTGAACCAACCTGTAATCGTGTAAACAAATCCTAATTTATTTTATATAAAATAAAAACACAAACGATTGACCAGCTATACCAATGTGCACTGATAAAGTTTATCCAATAAATTATTTATTTTCTGTTCTGAATTGTAGATTAATTATATACAGTGGGTATATGATTTTTATGTATATTAAAAGAATTTTCTTAACAGCTGCAACGCCAGGTGGCTTACGGTTGGGTGTGTTTCCGGTGATTAAGAATATTATGTTACGTTATATTATAAAGGCTTCTAATGGTCTCAGTTCGAAAATTAAGCGCTCAATCGCGGAACACCACGGTGAATTTAGCGTAAATTTCTGTGTAAATTAAACGATTAACTTTTCTAAAAATATAAATAATATGTTATCATAATTGAAAGCTAATCTTTATCTTTCTAATATAATGTAGACACAGTTTAACAGAAACACACGAATAATATATATTTAGTTTTTGCCCATCTGTCATTAAAATTCAATCTGTTTTAATGCAAGTTCTATGAATTCGTGTCATTGATGAAATAGAAATAACGGAGAAATAAATAATATTATTAATAATAATAATAAATAATAGAAATAAAATAATAATAATTAATAATAAATAAAAATTTAAATAGTTGTTAGCAGTGCTTGCAGTGCAGCCCTCCGATTCTGTAACTCACTTTTCGAACTCACACAGCGGTTTCCATCGGGTCGCTCCTATCGTATAACTTAGATTGATCTGATAAACAATAAACTACAAGCTCCCCCCTTTCCCCCCCCGGGGGGGGCCCCCCCCCCCCCCCTTTTTTTTATAACATGTCGTCGATCGCAAAGTATTATTGACGGACTAAACTCTGAACCCTTAGATGGAGGCCCCGAAAATATAGAAGGAATTTGATAGACATAATCTAATCTAAGCCTGACATCAGAGGACGGTACAACATAGCTTTTAGACCCTGACCCATAGGGTTATAAAAAATAAGGTACTACTACTAAAAATCCTAATTAATGACGAATAAAAGTGTATTAAAAATATATCTTAAACTCACTGTTCATATCCGTGCCAACATTATACGATTTTATAATGTAAACTAGGTCTTAAAACAGTCTTAACGATATAAAGTTCCAATAAATAATGAATTCTTGAATAGATTAAAATGTTTTTGTCGCTAACTAATTACGTATTATTGTGTGTATTAGTACATTAGAAAACTTTTTTTGTAGTTAAAAAAACTCTTATTTTATTTGTTACTAACCTATTTATATTATTTTTTTGAAGTGAATCTTCTTTATCGGCGTTGGAATAAATCTACCGTCACATTTTTCGGTTACGCGTCACATGTTTCGGTTACACGTCACATTATTTCGTTACGCGCATCTTTTTCTTGTCCCTACCACGGTTGATTCGAAGACATTCGAAGGACATAACAAAAATATATAATAACGATAACCATGATTTTTACCTTTTTCAATTTGATTGTGTGGCACTTGCTAGTGAGACACTTTTTAGAGTATTGTCTGGCGTAACAAATAGCAAATATACTTTATAACTTAAAATTTAACCCGTAGTCTTCACCGAATTCCAACTACATTATTGGTTACCAAATAAGCAATAAAACGGCGATAAAGTTTATAAATCAGGATTAGGAATAGTTATAATAAATTGTATATAATTACCTAATCACCTTACCTAACCTAACGTAACGGTGTAACTCAGATACGAAACTTAATTACTGATTAGCTGCATACCTAATGCGTCCGATTGGATATCCGTGAACTTTAAGTTAACTCTTATTAAACTGGTCTAAATGCAAATGCTATAACTAACATTATATAAACAAAATATGATTTATAGGTAGGTATGGGTTCATTCAGTAAACCTAAGTACAAAGGTTGATAGAAATCCTGACGTAATAAAAATATCCATTGTTCATTTAATTCTCCTTTACTATTGTCATTTGGAATAATTTTCGTAAAAATTACTCCCAACATGGATACACAACAAAAAGTTTATTTCAAAATAATTTTACACATTTAAAAAGTGTATGTTGAGGTACTCCTTGTGGCTTTTGCAATACTTATAATAATAATAAAAACTTGATGGTTTCTATGTGTGTTCCTTAGTATTAAATCCTTTTGTGTTGCTATTACCAGTAGTGTGATCGCTTGAAATCTAAATAATTCCATTTCCAACTAGACCAGCCAATACGCCACTCACACGACATACAACTCCGGCAAAAAAATTCCACTGAAAAAGAATAAACCAACCAAGCTAATGCTATGTAGGCTGTACGCAAACTACAGATTTAAATAAAAATATTGGTCCTCTATAACACGGCGCCAAATTCTGTTAAAATTTTAGCGCCGATCGTATTAACACAGGCAAAAAGAAGCCCAAGAATGAATCGTTTTATTAATATCATTGTTGCCGGGCTTAAATATAAAGAATGATAGTATGTTTTGGTTGTATGTTAAATTATTTGTAAATATAATCATTGGCTAAATTTAACAGTTAATTATTTTACTTAGCGTAAATTGTCCCGAATCAGGTTGTTTAATAAATAAATCGTTTCTTAATCAAAATTCAATAATCATTTAATCATATAGGTAACACATTGTACACTTATACTTGTCAGTAAAGAAATACATATTAATGCTTCTAATTTTACATTTAGTGCCAGTTCTCAAATCAAGGGCGTAGAACGGAAGAGAAGAACTGGCAATAAACCCTCCGCCACTCTTTTTAATCGCCATGTTTTTTTTTACACAACGTTTGTAAGGAGCTGCAACCATTAAACCATGTTCCACATGACATCTTAAGTAATTAATAATAATAACATAAATTAAAAACAAAGAGTTGTCCTCTATCAGCAGGAGGCATGGTGAAATAGGAGCACGCACTTAAATTCTCGTGGGAACAACACGCAAACACATAGTCGAAATAATTAACATCACCAACATCACCATAATAATCATTAAATAAATGCACGGTTTAATCCGAAGACCTATCATGCGCCAATTTTTGAATGAAATTATGTTAAGGATACAAAACGATAAATATATTGCACAAAAAAGAATAATATGATAAAATTAGGCAGTGTTTGCAGTGGACACTAGAGTTGGGCTTATAACCTCACCACTAATTTTTAGAGAGATTTTATTTGCACAATTGTTTCATTATTTGTAAGCTTTTTCTTTATCGCTATTGTTTGCAGAAAATAAATCATTGTATTAACAATAACTGTTAATTAACTGGCATTAGATTACAAATTGCTCATTAACGAAAAGTAAACAGAACAAATGAAAATACTTTCTACATTTAGTATTAAAAAAGGTATACAATTATTCTTTATAAACGTTTTAGATATGTAATAATATTTATAGCAAGAAGGGCTGATTGTACAAATCTCATTTCCTTTGGCTACATTTATGTCTTTGCGGGGAACAATTGAAATATATTGGAAAAGCTGTATAGATAATAAACTTATTATTTGTTATATTCAATGAAATTGAATTATATCCCAATCCTATTTATAAAGCAGTATATTTTCTCAAGTTATATAAAGTATGATAAAAAGTGGTTCATAAAATTTCAAATTCTATCTAATTGAAATGAACTGTTTACTCAGGTATAATAATATAACGTTATACTTTTTTAAGCAAATTATTACGAAACAAAAATAGAAATTTGAGGCCCAGACCTAAAAGGTTGTAACACACTGGTGTTTTTGTAATACATTCAATTATGTGACTTAAATGTTCTCTTTAACTGTATCTCTTTTCTGTCTCTGTTAACATAAGTATTTTGTAGCTGTTGGAATAGCAGATAGCATTTGTTGTTAATATGTTGCCATAAAAATATAATAAAATGCTTTGAGTGAAACTAAAATTTACAATGGATTATTTGTTATATAAATGAGTTACCAGGATCAAAATCTGAATTTGGTTAATAGTAGTGACAATTGTTTTACAGTAAATTATATTGAGTAATTGCTTCCTTCATTTTCATGTCGAGTTGTGGTACAGCCATTATCTGCCTACGATGTCTTAAATTCCATAAAATTATTTTCACGTACAAAGGTTTGTAACAAAGTTGTTAAATATTTGAAATATTACAGATTTGACGCAAAGACATTCCTAAGCACATGCCATTTTTTATTGAAAATTTTAATATAAATAAGTAAATTCCAAACACTAAGACAGGTGAGTTTCTGAAAGTCCTAAATAACCATGTCTTGTAAAATATTTTATATTTTTTTAGTCTACTACAATATATTTTCTGTACATTCGAAGCGTAAGTAATCTTAATATAATGTATGCTTAGAAGATAATTTTTATTACATAATACGGAACAGGTACGAGGTATCATATCAGAATGATACCTTGTGCCAATAATCAACAATAAAAGTAAATTGTTTAAAAGACCAAGCTAACTTTACTAATTCTTTAGCAGGTGAAAAGTTTGAGCGTATTTTGTATGGAGAGATAGCGCGTATTGAAGATTTTCCATACTTTGCTGGGCTTGTAAATTGTGGGGCTGCAATCATATCAGATCGACACTTAATCACTGCTGCCCATTGCTTTGACGATGCCAGGTATTTTATATTTTTTAAGTAATACCCGCTTATAGCGAACGTTCAGCTTCCGTAGGCTTAACGCACAAATAAAATCCCCCAAACTTGGCATTGACATTTAACAAACAAACAAAAATATTCTACATAGACAGAAGTATGAAAACATGAATGCGCTCAGCTATTGCTCATTTATCATCTGTTCTGTTCGTATCTGTTCATTTTAGAATCGGTGAACAATGAAAATTAAAGAACCAAAAAAACTTAAATGACTACTGTACAAGAATAGTTACAGCATAAATCACAAAACAACTTTAAATAACACAAAAATCTCTTAATCTTTAATGTATGTTTACTAATAGACAAGATCAACGCGACCAAAGCTAATCCCGCAAATCCTGCACATGTTGGTTTTTGTAAAGGCGCTAAAACGCACTAATATACTGCCATTTATGGTATTTTTGGAAAGATGTAATCAAATCTTTGAGATTTCCAACCTAAAACAATTCTTCCGTTTAAACTTGAAAAGTAAATTCTAGCTTAGACATGTTTCGTTGGCAGTACTTGCATTGCCAACGACACATAGACGACGCTTAGAAAATAACTACCTAACACTCATAATACAATAAGATAATATAGCAAAACCTTAATTTAATTTCAGTATCCGTTTATACATAAGATACGCTTATGTCGGTGGCGAAACAAAGAAGAATAGCCAAGTAGTAAAGTATAAAAATGTAATCATACATCCAGGTTATGTAACGTACGGTGGGGTGCCGTTTAATGACGTCGCTATAATTGAGCTGGCAGCACCGTTGAGGTTTTCTAATAAGGTGCAACCTCTAAGACTTCCTGAGCAAATGGGCAATCGTAAGACGTCTATGGTGTTTGTTGGGAGGGGGATTGATGAGGTAAAGTAATTCAATATTTTATACTACTGTAAAATTATCAGGTTACAATAATGCTTTTGGATATAATTTGTTTTAGACAGGTGAAGAATCGAAGGAAATTAAAAGTATGAACGTCGAAGGGTTGACTGTAAAAGAGTGTATATCCCTGATACCGCCATATTACCGAAAGTACTTCCAACAGTATCTGGACATATTGGCTAAAATGAATATCTGTGCAAAGAGGCCTGGCAATAGACCCGGAATGTGTAATGTAAGTATAGATTTTATCTTCATACTGTTTTTAATTTTGTATGTATCACAGAACTACTCTAATAAACCGATATAATTCTTCAAGAATTAAAACGACTTGGCACACTATAGCACTCGTTTCAAACAATTGATGACGTCTATAGCATGACGTCATCAAACGACGAAAGCCAATTTTAGTGAAATTCTTTCGATATCGCTAAAGTAAACAATATGAAAATTGCAATATTGAACTATAGTACGAATTTAAGTATATAACCCTTCGTTTAAACAGGACACAAACATAGATTATAAATTTCGGTTTCAAAAAGCGATCGAAAATTGAAACTTTCACAGTCTGTAAACCACGAATTATAGGGACTAAGTATTACATATTTTGAGAACCCTAGGTTCTCAAAATATTGCTTGACATATTATAATCTTTTCTTACGAAAGTAAAATTGCTTAAAATAATACTTTTAAGCTGCTTGTGCATTCGCGTAAATTTAGCATTAGCCAAATTAAACAAATTTATTAAAACGTATCAAGTAATCCACAGGGTGATTCAGGCAGTCCATTAGTAGAAGATGGCGAGCTGGTTGGCTTGGCGTCATTTGGTGGTGCAGATTGTTCGACTAATCGACTGGGCTTCTATACCAATGTCGCATACCATATCGAATGGATCAAACTTGTCACTGGATTGTAGATACGTCAGTATACAACGTAAAGTTATCTGGGGCTTGAGACAAAATCACTAAGATTTTGTAGAAGAATGACATTAGTTATAAACGCTTTGTCACGTGATCATTCCATTTTTGTCTCAAGCCTCTGTAGCTTTGTGTCAAGTATTCGTATATGTCAATGTCAATTTTTGACAGCTCGTGCGCCGATCTTACGCTTTGCTTACACGAATACTTATACAAAATACACCCACGACGCATTCAAGTTTTCCAAACAAAAAAAATCTGTATGATAAATATATTTTTATAAGTATTGTTCATACTACCGTAATGTGTGTATTGCAGATGTTGGATCTGAACATATATTAATAATACTAATTGTTATAGAATACGTAATAGGTTATTAATACGTAAAAAAATATTTTGATTATTTAAATAAATTTATGGTGGATGGTATAACTGTGTTTAATTAAAGAAATTATAATATTACTGCCGTATAATTTCGGATACTATTAGCAAGTACTTAGTTGTAAGTACTTACTTATTTGAAACGAAAACAAAAGGCTTTGTAAAAATTATATGTACACTCGTGAAGTTTTCATAATTTCATTAGAAAACGCGGGCTTTATATAAATTATTAATATGGTGAAAAGTTTGTACAATTATATGAAAAATGATATTTATGTAGGTTTATTGAACCTTACATTTACACGCGCTGTACAAGAATAATAATACAATAATACAAGAATACATTCAAAATCTTAAACCAAACAAATGAAACCATACCTCTAATGGTCTCCTATATACTTCTAGATACGTTTTAAAAACAATCATCTTTTTATCTACCCCAACAAAGCCAGGGTGGGTCGGTAGTAATATATGACACGCTCAAAAAGTATGTAGAGGGGTATCGCTAAAGCGTTAGATGCATTCAAACAATGTGCCATAAAACAACTTTATGTGGTGTAAAATAAAAGCGCATCTCTGTAAATTTTCTTATAAGCCCAACCTAAAATGCTTAGTACCCACTAACCTGATAGCTGAGATGAGAACTAGACCATTGTGGAATGCACATGGCACTATCCTAAGATAAGCTTTTATATAAATAAATTCTTATAAGTCCTACCAAGAATGCCTGATGAAATAGCCAACAACATTTGTTTGTTATAAATGTACATTTTCTATAGAAGACCTCAGTTTTCTTGATTTACGTTGACGTTTTATTTAAAGCTTTTGTTGCTTTTTTGTGATAAAGGTATATTTAATTTTCATCAAAAATAGTTAGGACAGATAGTTACTTTTCTTTTAATACTAAAAGTTTGAATGAATAAAAGTGTTTAAAAATTAATATTTATTCCTAAAACAAAAGTGGAAATATTTAAAGTTTGAAATCAGCTTTTGCTGAATTCACAAGTCTAATTAATAGTTACTGTATTTAATTGTGATTATTAATGTATGATTTTTTAAAGTACTACAATACAGCTATAAATCTTCTCCCGCTCTCTGTTATACTTTGTACTAAACCCGAACCCGTACTTAACCTTATTTCATTCTGTAAATGGAAATGAATGCCGGATAAAGTTTGATGAAGCTTCCGGGACTCGCGAAACTACAATGGACAACTTTTATTTTTGTTTAAATTTACAAGAAATTTCTTAATATTTTCTAAGCAGAGTTTTTCATAGACATTGAAAATAAAAGGTTGAAATACAATATTGACACTATAAATCGTTTTTTTTAAAATACCTATAGGAGTTTTTAAAAATATTGTACATGAAATTGTATTTTCTCTGGTATTAACCGTTCCACAGGGTAGTGTTGGCTTGGTCGTAGGTTCGATCCCCGGCTGTGAACTTTCTGTTTATGTGCGCATATATCCAACTCTCGCTCTTACGGTGAAGCAAAACATCGTGAGGAAACCTGCCACATCGTAATCTAAATACGACTATATGTGACAGATAGAAGGAAAGGAAGAAAGAACCTACATGTCTCTGAAATAAAAATTATCAAGGAAATGGATGCAATCTAAGGACAAACTGGATTATTATTAGTTTAATGAACCATTTAATAATAATAATCCATTGACGCTAAAACCCGATAAAGTTGAATTATTAGGTGTTGCAGTATTTCAATATTTTCTATTATTTTGCGTAGTTTTACGCTTTTTAATTCCTTGTAAGTGACCATTATAATATAGTAAGTCATCATAATCTTTAACCAAGTTGTCTTGGCAAAAAAAATGTTTATTTCCACGATATGTTTTGTTTATACGCTATATCTTGTGTACAAAGAATATCGTATCGCGAATATTAGTATTCAGTGAGCTCCTGCCCGCTCTTTTCAATTACCGCTTAGGTACTAAATGCGTAACACAACGTAACCGAGATCTAAAATGGCTACATAAAACAGGTAATTTTGTTATATAAATCACAATGTTATAATTACTTATCTCAGGCTTTGCTGACGCCGTAAGAGTTCTTGGGATGTCTAATATTTTTTTAAAGTCCTTCTCGCCTAAGACAGAATCAAGACTTGCGTGCGTAATATGTTTCCCGTATGTCAAAAAAGTATTGAATTTTTCTATTCATCAATGTGGCTAAATATGCATTTAAATAAAATAAATTTTAAATCAAAATTATAAATAGATAATAAAATAGTCTTTACGTATTATATCAGATACTAGCAACATCTTAGGCATCAATTTCCGAAACGTTTCCCTTAAATATTTGTGTCCCTTAATCACAAATGCTTTATCGACATTTTTCCTTCTCAAGGTATACGACGAACCATTAAATTTTTCATACTAAATCATAAATCGTAGAATAATGATTTAAAGCTAATGTGTTCTTGACCAGGCTTCGTATGTAATAATTTACGAGCCCTCAAGCTCTGCCGTCGCTTGCAGAGCTTTGAATATTAACTTGCATTTAGAAGAGAATTTGTGGAACGTTCGTTCGTGTCAGCTTTTGGCTTGTCATAACCATCTCATTATAAGTATTGATGGAAATCTGGATTACGGTAACTTTTTAATAATGGCTTTAAATGTCTTATTATATGTACGAGTATATATAAAACAGCCTTGATATGTAAGCGATGAGACTCGCGCCATGACCGATGGCTGCCATGCTGGTTTCTACACCATTCCCATCGCTATCGCCCAAGCGCTCAGAAGTAACAAAAACGTGCGTCTTCTCACTAAACGGACACTGCCTATAATGTATAATGTATATAACGTAACACGTTGTTTGATTATTGTAATCCTGTAGCCAAATGTATAAATAAGCAAATTTTTAAAAGTCGTAAAACTGCATTTGTTATTTCTAGTAAAACGGTAAAAGCGAACACATTTGTGTACGCTGAAATGTATATGAAAATATTCCTAGCATTCTTTATGAATTCATTTTGAAGAAAAACCCTCTGTGTTTTATTTTTATTTAGCAAATAGCGCTTTGCTTTTGATGTTTTATTATTGTTTTACCTTTATATTATTATTTGACAGCGTCGGGACGTGACGACCGCATCGCCCTCTAACGAAATAACCTGTGACAAAGATTATTTATTTACACCAATGCAAGCAGTTCCTTTCGGGCTTCATACAAATAGGCACTACCGGGGCAGTACCACTGTCTCACAGGATATCTCAGAAATCAATGCAATAGGGCCATCTTATTGTACTAGCGTTTCGTGCGGTGAGAGAGATAAATATAACATAATATCGCATTTCCAAAATTTATCATAACATACTGCAAAATTTTGGAAATGCCAATCTTTTAGTGAACACCTCAGTTCATAAGGAAAATTTATTAGCTACCTTACAATCCTAAGAATTGCAGAGTTAGAACCTAGGACGTTCTAGGGAATGGTAAAAGGTTTGTGTGTGACAAATAAGTCCGGTCGTCTTCGTTCTTTTTCATTGATTTTGACTGTGGTTTAATGTTACTTTAAATATTGATTACTTATTTCCTGTCTTATATATAAGATTAAGTGTCGACTTTGGGAGCGTTCAAGTATTACGTCCCTGTTCGGGCTGCTGCCAAAACACTTTAATGATATTTAAATAAAAGATTGCTTTGCTCTTAAAAACTAATTTAATGAGTGATCGCGGAGATGGTTGATGACACACTGATGTACCTATATAGAAAAGCGTCGCGCGCAGGCGGCGATCTAACTATACGTACTTACTACTTATGCTATTTTACAAGGTGTTCGGTTACTTTCCGAACATGCTCCCGGGCGGGAGAAAAAAACAAAATGCTTAAAATTATACATAATAATGAGAGAAAAAAATTTACTGATAAAAAATAAAATAAAAAAATGAGTGATTATATGCTACATGACACTATCTTCGATTATCGAGAATGCCTTTCGCGCACTAACACTTTCACTTTCATTGTGAACCACTGATTTTATTTCACTATTGTCACTGCGTTGCGCGCCCGGTGAGAGCACCAGACGCCGCCGACGCCGACACCTTCTCCAGGCGACGACGAGCGCCGCGCACGCGCACGCGGCGACCAGGCTGTAGCTGATGGAGTATTGATGTATGTCGTGGCTCGACAGCTCAGGCATTTCATCCATGTTGCTCTTCATGCTCTTTATTTGGGATTCCAAGCCATCTATAGAGCTGTTCAGTTTATCGATATCTGTATCGTCTTCTTTGAAGTAAGGCATTGTTATATTGATAACGTGGTTGATGTCTGGAACATCTGGTGTAAGGATGTTCGGTGCCGTTTGTAAAGTATTGAATTGTTGCCCACTTGCCATTAATGTGAAATCCTTGCCTTTAATTTGGCACTTATCTTGCAGAGTTATTATTCCGGATTTCTTTATATCGCGACTGTGAACTGTATTGTCACATATGATCCGCAAATTGTATGTATCGCAACAGAAGTACAGATACTGCAGAGGATTGTTTAGTTTTATCCACTGGTTGCGGCAGGTTGTGGTAGCTACTTTGCAACTGTCATTGATGTGATTTAATACACAAAACTTCTCGTCAGTGCTTAGATGATAAATTGGGCTCTTT